CCACAGGAAGGTAGAGCAACCTTGCAAAATAATCTGTTTTCCTCTGCTCTAACTATACCACCCCATCTCCTGGGGTTTATCAGCATTTCAGGGAGCACTGTACAAGCAGCACACTCACTCCTCCACGGAAGGTAGAGCAACCTTGCAAAATAATCTGTTTTCCTCTGCTCTAACTATACCACCCCATCTCCTGGGGTTTATCAGCATTTCAGGGAGCACTGTACAAGCAGCACACTCACTCCTCCACGACCTAAGCAACACTGTTGGCATGGCAACTCTGACAGCTTATTTCAGAATAAAACTCCAGATATGCTGAGCACAGAGTTCCCAAGACAGAAAAAAACCAGACACAAATCTGCCTCCACTCGGGGCTCTTTCACAGCAAACAGCACCCTAAGACACTGAGCTTGTGGTTTTGTGTAAACACACTGAGCTAAGCTATTTAACTCATTAGCATATATGAATATGATATAGGCCCCCACACCGGGAGCAGCACTGAACCCTTCCCATGTCCTTATGCAACCCCTGCTGAAGCCTCTGTCATCAAGCTGCAGCACTAATTGCTTCCAGGATGACAGATTTTTAAATTCTTCCAGCTCGAGAGGCTTAAGTACTTGGCAAAACAAGTCCCAGCTTTAGGAAGCAGCTTTGAGAATTCCAAATGCAATCCCCCCATCTCCAACTCAAGACTCACATCATTTGGGGCTGAGCTGACTCGTCCACATAGGGGGTGAAACTGGGCAGTGGGGGCGGCGCTTCCAAGCCAGAGCTCACCGTGCTGCGAGGACGCTGCGGAAGGAAAGGCAACATGAACAACACAGGGATTCATTGCAGCCTCCACACCCCTCTGCAATCTGCACCTCCCTTTGCCTCATCTTCTGCTTCTTTGGGCGTTTTCTTACCTAGAAAATTAAACTTGATGGAGACTTTTGCAAGTGGAATTCCTTTCTGACCCAGTCAGTGCCCACCAGCTGAACACTGGCACTTAAAAGTCTCCTCCTGCATGTCCTCACCAGTTCCTCTTATTCTGAGTGTTATAGGTAATAAATGATAAAGCCAAATTAATAATTAATGAAATAGGTTTTATTTTGTGACCGAGATTCAGTCTCCAATAGCCACAATCAAAGGAACAGCATTGAGCCTGGAATTGGCACTGGTGAACTCTGATCCGAACTCTACCACTTTGGATCCCCTCTGTTCATGAAGGCTCTTCCTGTCCAGGTAGTTTTTATACAGCTTTTTCTGCCTGGGGAAGAGTCTTTCATTCCATGGCTTCACATATTCATGTAGTCTCCTTTCTCTGTGCTGGGCTGGATAAAACCATTTCTGGTAAGCGATGAATGCTGATCATCCATTCACCGAGTTACGGGAACCTGGCACTGGGATGCACACCCACGACTCTGGCTATCGCTATTTATTATAAATATTATTCATAATAAATATTATAAATAATATTTATTCTTCTGTCCACCATCAGCCTCCAGACTTGGAGTTTGGCTTTTTTCTCAGTTTTCCCATCAGAGACCATTGCAGCACCATAAAAACCCCTTTACAGTGTTATGATTCAAGTTCTGTATGTCTAATTAATAAACAACAAAATTTAGCAGCAATTTTAATTGAACAGCAATTTTATATCAATGAATACAATCAAGTATACTAAATATAATCAAGCATATAAAAAATGTGGCAGTGATTAATTATGTATGATTAAGGTTTATATAAAGCATAAGCAAAACTGACCAGGGTACAGGGCAGGCTTCTCCCCCTGACTCATGTACAAAACAAAGTAATGCAAACGAAACTTATATACTGTATGCATTCATCAGTATTTTTCCATAAATCTCCTCCTATTTTTGATTCTTGAAATCTGTGTCACTGTACTGCATAGCACATGCCCCACTTGTTGTCAGGGGGTCTCCTGGCTTTTTGGTGGTCTTTTCAGAGGAAGGCTCACAGTCTTCCTCGCTGTCCTCTGAATAACCTTCACAGGTTGCACATGCACACTAAGCTTTGTGTTATGTAAGTAAGTGTATGTTCCAAATAAGCTTTATTATCTCACAGATAAAACCACAACTTGCATTCCTTACCTGGAATCATCCCAACTTGGTTCAGCCCAAGGCCAATTCTGTTTTGGAATCTTGCTCATCTCAATACTACATCCTGTATCCTGTTTTTCCACATGTAACAAAGGACTGTGTTCATACCAAGGCCAATTCTGTTTTGGGATCTTGCTTTCCTCAATCCTACATAAAGGTTTTCAAGGAAAGCTTTGCTTTTACATTTTCATTCTAACATGCTCTGGAAAAGCTTGTGTTCCAGCACACAAATGACCAACAGAACAGACCACTGGGGACACAGGCATCACAAAGTCACCCTAGGACAGCCAGGCATCGGCCTCCTCACTTTCTGTTCTTCTTTTCTCAGCTACAAAGAACAGGGCAACACTGGGGCTTATCTGAGCACCTATGAAACAAACCTGATCTCACAGCATTCATGCCCTTCACACAAGGTCTTCCATCACTTCTCTGCAACAGCCCAAACACCTGTAGCAAAGCTGCTCCTTTTCATGTTTAGTTTAAGCCATTGGAAGCCACTCTCTGTCATCCTACTGCCAGGATAAATATTCCATTGATATTGCACTTGAATCCTTTTGATCTGCACTCTTCTGCTTTCCTCACAAGCACTTCAAAACAAGACTTACAGAATGCTGCACGTGCCTTCTTTGCACAGACAGCCAACAAGTTCTTCCTCCAGGTTCCAGTTTCCAAAATAATTCAACTCTAACGCTTCTATCTCACACATTCAACTAATGCCTGGCCTCTCTCCCCTTCCCTGGCTCATGGTTTGCCTCTTGCTTTCCTTTTCTGCTCTCCACACTTTTCAGCAAGCCACCTCTGCCAATTCTCTTGATTAGCAAGAATTTCCTTTCCTTGATTTTAAACACAGCAATGGAGAGACTGGACAGGGCCAGAACACACTTAGCTTGCTTTAGAGTTTAAAAGGATTTTAGCTAGAAGCTAAAATATCTGAAAGGACAAATATATTTTAGATGTTGTATCTTTAAATCACTTCTTTCTCCTTAAATAAACATTTGAACTCTATTTATTCAAGGCAGCTTTTACAAATCAAAAACTTCTAGAGTTGGTAGCTGTCCAAAGTGAACAACCCTAAAAAATAGTCTGGAAATGAGAAACAGAATTCAAGAGTAACATTTGCAGAAAAATACGTCCAATATCGCACTCGTTGTACAACACTGTTTGACTCTTGTCACCAGAACCAACTTAGCTGTGTGCAGACAACATGACAAGGTCCCAAGGAAAAGCAGCACCCAAGAGATGTTCCCAAAACACTCACAAACTTGAGCCAGAGATTAAGATAGCGAAGGTCTTTGTAGTATCGCTGCTGCCCGTGGAGGGCTTGCACTGCCCTTTCCAGAACTGCTGACAGGTTGCCATCCTTGCCCCCCCCAGGGAAGGCCTGCTCTGTCCACCTGATGTACCTAGAGACAGAATGTGTTCATAGCAAGTCAGTTCTTAATAAGCGTCTGTAAAATATAAAGAGATTAAGAAAAAAAATGGCATAATATTGAAACACAATATAATATTTAAAAACAATTATAAAACTTAGCTTTCAATGAGTTTCTTATTAAATTAGAATGTTTCCCTTGCTTTTACAAGGATATGTGACCATTTAACTCTTTTTTTCTGAAATAAAGAAAAACTTACCGCTCCCACACATCCAGAGGATCATCTCCAGAGTAAAATCGTATTTCTGCTTCAAACTCCCTAAAATATAACATTATTAATCCAATAAATACATTTGTATCACTGTAAGTTGATCTTGCACATTACAAATTAAGAGTTAATTATTAATTTAAAAGCACAGCCAGATCTCCCTAGTGTTTGCTGTTTAAATGCTCTGTTGCAAAATGAAAAAGCTGAAGTCTGTACTACACAACACCTGCACTGAGTAGTTCTAAAATCCTAGAGCGTGGTAATAGCACAGACATGAATTACTGAACTTCTTTTATGCCTTTTTAAATGCCTATGAGATTGGTACAGTTTAAGAAAATAGAGATAAAATGAGGAGGGAGGGAGTAAGATAAGGTGAAAAGAGCTATTATAACATCACTTACTGTTTTTTAAGCTGCACAGCAGTGTGGCTGGAAGAGTCCTGCTGCGACAGTGCCTCTTGCAAACTGGACATCACCCGTCCCTGCCTGAGGGGCTGCACATTCTCCTTGCTCAGCTCCCACTCGTGGCTGTCCTCCTGGGACATGACCACCTCTCCTCCAATCCTGAACGCTTCTCCTTTAATTCTGCATTTAAAAAGGAAAGGACACCTGTACGGCTGGGTACTGACCTGAAACCTCACAGAGACAGCTTTCCTAAGTCCACTCACCCTGAATTTTCTGTGCAGCCAAAACACACCATTTAGGATACCCAACTTTTAGGGGATTTGTAGAGGGACTTGGGAATTTAATTCCCGCCGACGGGAAATATATGAAAAAAAGAGCCCATCTTGAGAGTGAAGAACCGCAAGCAGGCAACATTAGCAACAAAAAACACTAAGATTAAGCCATCTCCCTCCCCGCTGATTGCTCCTTTCCCTGCCCCGACAGCCCCCGCCACGCTCCTCACAGCGGCTGCCGACGGCTGCTCCGGCCAGGGGAGCCTCAGCCAGGCTCAGCCGGGCCCCTCTGGCTCTTCACCACTTCCACGAGCGGCAGCGGAGCCTCCAGCCCAGCCGGGGGGCGGCGGCCCAGAGCGGCGGGGACTCCCGGCTGGCACCGACGGCACAAGAGGCTCTTGCTCCCCGGGACGCATCGCCCCACGCCGGGCCGGGCACCCCGCGCTCTGCGGGCAGCCCCAGCGCCGTGCCGGGCACCAAAAGGCGTCTCGGAGCGCCAGAGCCGCGAGCGCCAAGCACCTCATACCCTAAAGGCCCGCACGGATCCCACACAGACACCGCCCCTCCGCACCTCACAGCCCCTCAGGCCGCCTCCGCCCTCAGCCCCTCACAGACCCCCAGAGACACCCACAGCCCCACA